AAAAGTATTTCCCATATTTTTAATATTTTATTCATACGTATTAATACATATGTTTTGTTAAGTATACATTTAAGATATCAGCAGAAAGCAGGAGTGATGGGGTGGGGGAGGGCCTTCAGTGGGCTCCTGGAAAGTCTCAAGTCTCAGTTTAGCTGATATGCATTGTTATCTTTGATTCAACTGTTCCTCAGCTAGCAGGAACTTGATGCTGGATTCATCACTGAAGCGTGTAGTGTGTGAAATTAGTGAAGTTCTGACATTATGCAAACCTGCAGAGTGCCAAAACTTTGCTGGATTTTATGTTTTACACACTGAAGGACAATAAAAATTTTTTGGGGGAGTGGCTCGGGGAGACTAGTTGATGTGACACTCACATTCTCTCTCATGAAGACACACTCACATACACTGACCTATGCAGACACACTAACACTGACCTTGGTGGGCTACATATGGAAGGTCCTTGCTGAGCATGCTGGTGGCTGGCACTGGTCCTAGCCTAGCTGGGATGGAGAGCTAGAAGGGCAGGATAGAATAGAGCCTGCACTCGTCTGTGCAGACTGTCTTCTTTTGACCCCCTGTAATTTTAAGTAATGGGGAGAAAGAGGTTGTGCGGGTGTTATGACAATGATGTCATGTAACCCCATATGCCCTCCTCCGATTGGCAGTCCGCCAAGAAGGAGAACAAGCAGGTCTGTTTTCTCCTTTTCACACGCTGGGTGCTTCACATCCCCTGGCATAAGAATGGGCTGTATCTTGCCTGCTGCCCCAATGCCATGGCCTCAGTGGCCTTATGGGAAATCCGCCACCCCAGATGGCACCAACTGTGCAGGGTGCTAGGGACACATGAGGCCCAGCTGTTGCATTGAAAGTTCATGCCGGAGGCTTTGTGGAGGAGTTGGGACATGACCTAATCCCTGACTGTCTGTATAACATGTATAAATGTAAAGTTACTATTATGTTACACCAATTCACTATATACTGATTATAAATTACCATTAAAGGGAGACTACAGGGAAATACTGACTGTGGAATTTTATGGATTTTCCAGCAAAATCTAAAAATATCATAAGACAAGGTAGGAATGTGTTTATAGGCAAGCCTGAGATTGACAAACATTGACAATATACACAGCTTTGCTGTCAACGTGTCAATTTCCAGCCGTTGCTGTGGCTCCCACAGTCTCCCGGGACCCGCCGTAGATCTCAGTGTTTTACTTTTCTGCATGTAGTCAAGAGGTGCAGACAGTTTGGGAGGAGCCACGGTAGGGCTTTGGGAGAGGCCACAACATTTAGCTTTGGGTACCAGCTACGGTCATTTTTTAATTCTAGCAATGCCCCTGGAAGAAAGTCGTGAAATGAAATGTATCGCTTGATATGCTAGTGAACAAAATTCGTTTTTTTACATAATGAGCAATTGTCAGCTAGGCTCCATGGCATGGTCACCACCCACAATGTAAGTGACACCCTGTGGGACATATCTTACCTCAGTGGCCTCCAACTAGTTTTCCCTACTCCTGTTTATATGTGTCTGCATTCTACTGGTCACCAACTGTGTTCCTTTTTCTCTTTTTTTGTTTTCCTTTTCACCCCTTGGCTCTCTATTTCCCCCTTCAATTGCCCTTGCCTTCTTACCATCTTGCCTACCTTATTTCTTTTCTTTACTATTCTGTTTATTATTCTGGTATCCTGTCTACAACATGGAATTTGATAGTGGGTCACATTTATTGAAAAAAATTAGAAAGGGACAGTATTTTTTATATATTTACCTTTATTTCTGTAATATTCAAAAATTATTGCTTTACCTATATACTCCCTTATTTTGAATGTTTGAGTACCATTTTCATTGCCTGCAGTCGTGAACACATGGAATCTCAGGAAAACCAGTCTCACGAGGTCTTAAAGGGACAGAACTTTAGCTTAATGAAGCAGTTTTAGTGTATAGATCATGCCTCTGAAGTTTCAATGCTCAATTCTCTAAAATTTAGGAGTTAAATCACTTTAGTTTCTGTTTATGCAGCCCTAGCCACACCTCCTCTGGCTATGACTGGTTTCATTTTCCATCATATGTTAACTTACTTTTGATAGTTTTATGTCCGGCTCTGTAAATTGAACTTTAATTACATACAGTAGGCTCCTGAAGGGTCTAGCAAGCTATTAACAGAGCAGGAGCTAAGAAATTCTAAATTACACAGAATTTGCAATAAAGAAGTGTAAGCATTAGATTTCTCTTTACAGGAAGTGTTTAGGAAGGCTGTGTAAGTCGCAGGGAGTTGTGCCTAGGGCTACATGAACAAAGTGATTTAATTCCTAAATGGCAGAGAATTGAGCAGTGGAACTACAGGGGCATCATCTATACACCAAAACTGCTTAATTAAGCTGAAGTTGTTTTGGAGACAAAAGTGTTCATTTAAACTAATGTTCTATTTGAGCAAAAGACAACAACAAGCTAACATGACTAAAAGTATATTAAATTTTGTACTATAAGAAATAATATTTTAGAGGCATCCTTCTCAAGGCCCGTACCTGTCATTGAGCTTACTGTAGAATACTATTAACTGTTAAAACAGTTTTTAGCTCAGCCAAACAAAGAATTATGGGAATTGAAGATTGCATTTGCTGGAGAGCCAGATGGTGACTATTCTTGAACAATAAAAAATAGCTCTGGTGCATAGTGTTAACTGTCTTTAAATGTGTATATGAATCTAATTTGCATAAGGTAATACTGGGTTTACTATCGCAACAAAACTTCAAAACAGCATCATGAGAATCCCTGCAGGTTAATGGCTCGGATATTTTATTTCCAGTCTTTGTGGCGCACACATTAGGTTCACATTGTGATGTGAAGATAATGTATTCTCATCGTGAATAATAAACCATTACAAGACAGATGTCACTTGACACTCTGATGTATCAATTTTAAGTATCATTTCTAACACATTTCCCGGTATGAATTGAAATGGTTGTCTCTATTTTTCATTCTGTTTTTTTTGTAATGTAATGCAATTTTTCAGTATAATTTATAACATTTCATAAATAGATAACATGTATAAATGTAAAGTTCAGTTACTATTATCTTACACCAATTCACTATATATTGATTATAGATTATCATTAAAGGGAGACTACAGGATGGATTGATTTACTGCCCATTTTTGAACTACAGAAATGAACAATTAAAATATGTAATTCCATTTTTCTAGTTCTACTTATTTTTTGAATTTATGTTATATCTCGTTTGTATTATTCTAATTTTTCTTGTTAAAGTGTTGGTGTTAGTCGCTGTCATTTGTTTGATGTACCTATTGTTTCATATAGTAGAATAAAAATGTTGTGTCTAGCAATCAATGTATTTTATTGTGCCCAAATTGAAATAAAGAATGAACAAAGGAAGGATTAGCCAGTGCTATTAGCAATTGTATCATTATGATGCTCAAAAAAACAAAACAAAAAACCCCCCCAAAAAACTGTTGGGGGCAGGGCATGATACCACTCGCTATAAACCAGTGACTAAAGCAGACATTCTGACACCAAAGGTCCCGAAATGCACGCAAGCTGTTATTTAGAAGAGTGCAATTTGATAAATCTGGGCCGGAATACTCTGCTAACCAGCATTCCCATCCATTATCTTTGAGGCCTACCGGGCTGGCAAGCAAGCAAAGGCGAGAGGCGGACGTTCTCCCGATGCAGTGTGCAAGCCTTGTGGCAGCTTCCAGGGAGCCCTGTTACCTCCCTCCCCCCCCTCCTTTGGACCAGTGGGGGATATCCCGGTCCCCACTGGGCAAACTTTATCCCGCTGTGCAAGATAATTCTGCAGCCTTTGAAGCCGCGTGGTGCGACCAAGATTGCCGCCATGCACAAACCTTAACCATGCCAAATGGGCCCAGAGGGCCTGGGGTGGAGAAAACACTTCAACGCAAGATTTTATGAGATATGCCGGAGGTTCTGGGAACGTATAACACACGGATCTGGCACAAAGAACGTGACGGCAGATAAGAACCATTCAGCCCATCTTGTCTGCACAATTTTCTTAATACTTTCATTAGTCCCTAGCCTTATCTTATAGTTAAGATAGCCTTATGCCTATCCCACACATGCTTAAACTCCTTCACTGTGTTAACCTCTACCACTTCAGCTGGAAGGCTATTCCATGCATCCACTACCCTCTCAGTAAAGTAATACTTCCTGATATTATTTTTAAACCTTTGTCCCTCTAATTTAAGACTATGTTCTCTTGTTGTGGTAGTTTTTCTTTTAAATATAGTCTCCTCCTTTAATGTTTTGATTCCGTTTATGTATTTAAATGTTTCTATCATATCCCCCGTCTCGTCTTTCCTCCAAGCTATACATGTTAAGTTCCTTTAACCTTTCCTTGTAAGTTTTATCCTGCAATCCATGAACTAGTTTAGTAGCCCTTTTCTGAACTCTCTAAAGTATCAATATCCTTCTGAAGACACGGTCTCCAGTACTGCGTACAATACTCCAAGTGAGGTCTCACCAGTGTTCTGTACAATGGCATGAGCACTTCCCTCTTTCTACTGCTAATACCGCTCCCTATACAACCAAGCATTCTGCTAGCATTTCCTGCTGCTCTATTACATTGTCTGCCTACTTTTAAGTCATCAGAAATAATTACCCCTAAATCCTTTTCCTCAGATGTTGGTTAGGACTCTCAAATATTCTGTACTCTGCCCTTGGGTTTAACGTCCAAGATGCATTATCTTGCACTTATCCACATTAAATGTCAGTTGCCACAACTGACCATTTTTCTAGTCTACTTAAATCTTTTGCCATTCGGATTATCCCTCCTGGAACGTCAACCCTGTTACATAACCTAGTATCATCAGCAAAAAGACATACCTTACCATAAAGACCTTCTGCAATATCACTTATAAAAATATTAAAGATAATGAGTACAAGTACAGATCCCTGAGGTACCTCACTGGTGACAAGCCCATGCTTCGAATTGACACACTAACCTCCCCTACTACACAGCAGTGCAACATGGCCACCCCGCTGGGGTCAACACGTGTGGAACCGCTACTTATGGCGTTCGACAGCACCTGTACCTTACTCTGGGCGAAGCTCTATGAACGGGGCACCTATCACTGCTCCTGTTGGCCAACCTGTGGCTCCCCAGAGCCGTCCTGCTGCTCGCTACCACAGGTAAAAGCATCTCCCACGTGTTTCCCGAGAGGTTCTGCACAGGAGACGGCACAAGCTAAAAAAAAGTGGCACTGTCCCACCGTAATCTGTCAACATGTTTTGTCATGATGTTAAACCTTACGTGGGTCTGACTGATGAAAAATGAATTGTTTTACATATGCAATGCTTAGTGAATTATGAATATATATATCTGTGGGTTACAGGATAATGTTATTAAATCAATGTCTCATTATGCAATACATCCATAGGTTAATAAATATATATATATATTTATTTATATTTATTAACCTATGGATGTATTGCATAATGAGACATTGATTTAATAACATATTATCCTGTAACCCACAGATATCTGGACAAGCCTTCCTTGATGGCTCTGTTGGTGTGAGATGGCAAGGGAATCGAGGTGAAGATCTAATTATAGCCCCACAGGTATAACCAGTATACCTGGATATACCTTGTCTAGCACTCTCACCTGCGGCGCCAGAAGAGGGGACTTGTCATAGAAAAAGGTAAATAAAGGGTTAAAGCCTTTGCCTTAGTTAAGTCCTTCCACGTCTGCAGGGGTTAAAAGTACAGGGGGGCGGGGCCAAAGAGGGTGTGTTTTGTCATCACTTATGACATGCACACCCCTTCTCAAAGTGAGCATGTTGGTTCAATGCGCAGAGCCCCGCTGAAGAGCTCTAGCATTAGAAAAAGGCCCTGTATTTGTTCTGCGCAGCGCAAGCAAATTTAATAACATGCTTGCGCTGTGTTTGCTTTTAAATTGTCTCTGGTGTCTCCACAAGTGGGATACCAGTGGACAGGGCCGCAATCAGGGGGTGACAACCATAACGGTTGTCACGGGACCGGTGGCCATGGGGGACCCGGCAGCCCGAGCCCCACGCTAGCGGCGAAACTGCCGCCGGTGCAGTTGCACCGGGGCCCACACGCTGATGGAGCCTATCGAGTGGCCCATGCACTTAGGGCCACCCGATGGGCCCTATATCTTCAGGGACCCGGTCAGCGCTGTGGCCATGGTATAGCGCGACCGGGCCCCTATAAAAAACAAAAAAAAGCAGCCGCAGCAAGTGCTGCTGGGAGGAAGTGGTCACTTCCTCCAAGCTCACTCCGCGCGGGAGGACCACCAGCCAGGCAGTGAGGGAGAGCCATGCCGATTACTCCCATCAGCCCCAGCCACCCGCCTGCAAAGAAAAGGTAAGAGACAGGAGGATGGCTGGAAAATGAGCTGTATGTGTGAGTGTCTGTATGCATGCATGTATGTCTATGTATGCATGTATGTATGAATGTATGTCATTATGAATGTATGTCTGTCAGTATGTTATTATGTATGTCATTATGAATGTATGTCTGTATGCATGTATGTATATATGTCTGCAAGTATCAATGTATGTCATTATGTATGTCTGAATGTCTGTCAGTATGTATGTATATATGAATGTATGTCTGTATGTATGTATCAATGTATGTCATTATGTATGTCTGTGTATATATATATATATATATATATATATATATATATATATATATATATATATGTCTGTATGCAAGTATCAATGTATGTCTGTATGTATGTTATTATGTATGTCTGTATGTCTGTCAGTATGTATGTATGTATACCAGTATCAGTGTATGTCTGTATGTCACTATGTATGTATGAATGTATGTCTGCATATCATTATGAACGTATGTCTGTGTGTATGGATGTCTGTATGCATGTATGTCAGCATGTATGTCTCTCAGTATGTCTGTATATATGCATGTATGTCAGTCTGTATGTATGAATGTATGTCTGTATGCCATTATGAATGTATGTCTGTGTATGTCTGTGTATGTCTGTATGCCATTATGAATGTATGTCTGTGTATGTCTGGATGCCATTATGAATGTATGTGTGTATGGATGTCAGTGTCTGTATGTCTGAATGCATGTATGTCTGTATGTATGTGTCTTTATGTCTGAATGCATGTATGTCTGTATGTATGTGTCTTTATGTCCTTATGCATGTTAGTATGTGTCTGTCTGTCACTATGTATGCCTGTGTGTCTGTATATGTGTGTATGTCTCAGTATGTGTGTGTCAGTATGTATGCCTGTATGCGTGTATGTCTGTATGTGTCTGTTAGTATGTATCTGTGTCCTTTTGTATCAGTGTGTGTGTTTGTGTCTGTGTTTGTATTCCTGTGGGCGGTATTTGGAGGCGGACCCTGTGGGCGATATTTGGAGGCGGGCCTGAGCTGAGTTAGGGGCCCCAACATTTCTGGTGTCGGCCCTGCCAGTGGACAAAAGGACCAGGAAAGCGTATGGTGCATGTGTTTGGAGCCTGCTTGTGGGATGGCGTGTGTGTAGAGTGTGGTGTGGTGTGTAAATAGGTCAATTTCATTTGGGTTTGTGGTGTAATATGTGTGGCTAGGGGCAGTGTGTGTGTGCTGTGTGAGTGAGGGAGGGAGCAGTGTCCGTCTGAGGGTGATGTGTGTGAATTTATTTTCTATTTAAATATAAATATATATTTTATTAATTAAAAAAAAAAGAAAAAAAAAGTTATATCCCCCCCTCCCATCTTACCTTTAGCCTGGGAGGGGGGGGAGCCATGCTGCCTTCCCTGGTGTCAGGATTACTGTTTGATCCAGCACGTAGAACTGTACAGCACGGATGACAAATAAGTAACGTATTACCGGTCCTTAGAATGGCCAGATTTAACGTACAAAGTAGTCAAAAATACTAGCCGAGGTCAGGGAACACAGAAAGGGACACAGCGATGAGAAAAGCCAGGAGTCAGGATACCAGAATATAGAGAAGTCAATAAACAAAGTCAAAAACCAGGTAGAAAACTAATAACAGGACCACACTCTCAGACAACCACAAGGAAAACCACAACAGGGCACTGAGCAGGATGAGAACTGGGCCTAAATACCCCTCCTTTAGTTCTGATAGGCTGTAACCGGCCTTTGACCCCAAAGTCAGTTACCAGGTTTCATTTGCATAACTGCTGCTCAGCATTAACCCTTCTGTGGATTAGTTTGCTGCTCGGCACAACTTTTCCTGTGTGGACAGTAAATGTCATTAACCACATTTCTATAAGCGGATGAATACGTGACACCTGGTGGTCCTAGTGGTGAGAGTGAACTCTAGCCTGCAGGCTAGAGTTCACTCTCGCGAGATCTGAGCTTCTGGCTAGAGCTCGTCGGGTCCTCTCCTGCCTCCATTGCAGTGCCTGTGAGCCGGTGAGGGAGATCTTTTGCCTGGTATGCCCGATGGCCAGTCCGGGCCTGGTGATGTCTGTGTAGGTAAGTTAGTCAGGGAGACTCTCAGTGAGTCTATCTTTGGATTTATTGTCTGTTTAGCTAGGCAGTTGGGTACACTTTGTGCCCTGGGGATTTATAAGTTTAGTACACTCTGTCCCCTGGATCAGTGGAGAGAGTTCTCCTACGTTAATGTGTATTTCTTTCTGCTTTACATGCGGTCTGTCATTCATTTTAGCGTATATGTTTTGACTTATTGTTGAACATTTTACCAAATGGAGTCTGATACAATTGTTAGATGAATGTATAATTTGAATGTTTGTTATTAATCAACTCCATGAGCCCAATATTTTTCTTTTTACATTGGGACTAGGAATATATGTTTGCAGTGAAAGAATCTGTAAGCTGAACGAATGGTTAAATTTCATATGAGCCTGGTACATTTTTATGAGACCGGACTAGCCATAGATTAGCAAACCACACAGGGATAGTTTTATTTTTATCGTCCTTACTGTTAGAAAGAGTGGTACACCAAACAGCACATGACATAGTTAAAGATTCCATTTCCTCTGAGTGTGAGTAGACCCATACTGCTGCTAACCCTAACAGACAAATACATTTTCACGCTCACAGCGGCCCAACACTGATTTATATTACTTTTTGGCTGTATTATTGCCTTTTTGCTAGCCACAGGATATCCAATCTGCGTGTTATTGCTTCTTAATTAGGGTATCACAATTATTGTTATAGACATCTTTGTATAACCATTTAGTGTCTAAGTACCCTCCCTAGATTAAGATGCAGCAGGGAAATTCTAAACAGAATTGTAAAATTAAACATAGGGCTGTAAAGAGGGGACAGTCCAGTGCCAGGAGAACAAATCGTTTTCCTGACACTGCAGGTTCCCACCCCTTCAGTGACTTACCTGAGACCAGCGCCGATGTCCCTCTGCGCTGGTTTAGGGTCCGCCCAGGCTCCTCCCCCGCTGACGTCATCCGGCGGGGGAGAGACCTATTGCGCATGCGTGGCTGCCAGTGGAGGAGACCTAATGCGTATGTGCGGCAATGCCGGGCACGCGCATTAGAGCTCTCTATAGGAAAGCATTGAAAATGCTTTCAATGCTTTCCTATGGGGATTTTAGCGACGCTGGAGGTCCTCACATAGCGTGAGGACGTCCAGTGACGCTATAGCACAGAAAACCTGTGCTATAAACCAGGAAGTGCCCTCTAGTGGCTGTCTAGTAGACAGCCACTAGAGGAGGAGTTAACCCTGCAATGTAAATGAAATCTGCAATATTTACAGTTGCAGGGTTAAGGGTAGTGGGAGTTGGCACCCAAACTACTCCAATGGGCAGAAGTGGTCTGGGTGCCTGGAGTGTCCCTTTAATGAGACCCCTAAACATTTTGTAGAAAGAATTGCAGGGGATTATTATGTGGACCCCTTTGTAAATAATCTAGCAGGTTACACTGGGGTATGAAAGGCAGGACCATATTTCCCAGAAAATGAGGCTTGGACCCAGAGCATGTTTTAAGGATAGCAAGCTTGTGCATGGGTCAAAATGGCTATGGTATGGACCAGATAGCTCCTGGGATAAGAAGTTTATGCGTTCATGTGGAAGAAATGGGTTTCCCTCTCCCCTTATTAGGTAGTCACATTCGACCCTACCCCAACTAACTTACCTACAGCCCCGAGTCTTTGCCAAGTCACCCCTTCATTGCCACCCACATACCCAGGTTCATCCAATACACCTTTATACACC